GGGGGGGGGGGGGGGGGGGAGGCTGCTTTCGGCTCTCATTTCCCCTTCTTCACAGCACAGAGCCCTCTTTGCAGCTCCTGGGAAGGGGCGGGACTGGCGTTGCACTATGAAGAAGGGCAAAAGAGATGAAAGCACCCTTTTTCTTCCCTTCTTCACAGTGCATAGCCAGTCCCGCCCCTTCCCAGGAGCTGCAAAGAGGGTTTTGCACTGGAAGGGGGGGGGCTGCTTTTGGCTTTTTCCCCCTTCTTTGCAGCATGAAGCCAGCCCCATAGGGCCCAGTCCTTGGGCCAGGCATGCCTCAGCAGCGGGAACAAGAAGATGGTGGCGAAGGTCAGCTGGGGCAATGGAGCACAGGGCGGCAGGAGCTAAAAAGGCAGAGATGGGGGGGATAGGCAGGTGGAAGGAGTTGAAGCACCCCTGCAGTCGTAAGTGCAGGCAGGCTGCCAAGCGCCCAAATTTTGATCACGTGACTGCAGGGTCACTACAATGGTCATAATTTCAGGCACAGGCCATAAGTCCAGCACAGCTTTGGAGAGTCGCTGAACAAATGGTCATTAAGCGAGGACTACCTGTACCACTGGGGAGTGACAGTCCCATAAGTAACCCAGTCAAGCCATGCAGAGCTTTAAAGGTAACCACCCGCATCTTGAAATCATACTGTTAGCCAATACAGTTCACAGAGAGGAGGTATAACATATGCCAAATGACCAGCACCCATAACTGTCTGCGCTACTGTATTTTGCACCAGCTGAAGTTTTCGAATATTCTTCAAGGGTAGCTCCATGTAGAATGCATTGCAGTAGTCCGATCAGGAGGTGACTAAGGCATGAGTGACTGTGAGCAGGGGCCTCCCAGTCCGAGAACAGTTGCAACTGGCACACAACACAAAGCTGTCGAAAAGCCCTCTGGCCACAGCTCTTTGAGGAGAAGCCACGAGCCCAGGCAGACCCCTCAAATTGCACACAAGATCTATCTGGGGCAATGCAATCCCATCCCGAGCAACAGATGGAAAGTCCTCAGAACCAGAGTTTTTTGCTGACTTGCCACACCCAGCCTCAGCAATAAATCGCAGATCTCCAGACACTGAAACCTTAGTTTGGCTCTTAGCTAGATTTGGCAGAAGATTCCCAGACGCAACTTAGCCAGATTAGAATGTTTGCTGCAGACAAGAATGAAACCTCAAACACAATAATTGCTTACCCACTGCAATGCACAGAAGTCGGAGACTTACATATTTGTTCTCCAGAGTTGCATCTAAGCTGCTTCCTTCTGGCCTTCCAAATTAATGGACACTTGGGTTGTTTGGTGGCCAAGATGCAATAGCCCCTCTAGCCTAGGAACCAGTTACTCTCCCCTCGCCAGCCTTGACCAGTACATGTATAGTTCCAGGACTTTGCTAGGTATCTATTTTAGGTTTGTTAGAATTCAGAATCAGGATATTATATTAGCACATGTCTTGGTAGCAAGCACAATCATGTTCCATCACATGGTGAAACTATATTTATGAAAGCGTACATGCGAATAGCTCTCAGGAAAATATTGAGTATGCTGGTGTAAATCTCTTAATTGTTTCATACCCACCTATGTATCCACCACTCTGTTCTTTTTGAGATGAGCAAAGCTAAGCAAAGCACAGAAAGAGGCAGTAATCAAATGAAGTTAGAGATGTGGGATAAGAAGAAAGGAAGTACAGCTAAATTTAGTTTATATCTATACCGAGCAAATATTTGCTTGTGTCAAGTCCATACACTACTTCAGGCATTGCCTTTTGTTCTTTACATTTCTTACCTCTCTTTTTGAGGAACTCAACTTCATCTCAGCACAAATTTCTCAGTTTTCCCATTAGTCTTGATGCATTTGCTCTTCCTTCATATATTTGTTCTACAATTGCACTCTCATTCTTTCTCTCTGTATGAACAAATCACCTAAACATGTTTCTTTTGTACTGGTCACTCTGTTTTGTGTCCAATGCACTATCAGTCATCATGCATTTGTTCCTGACCTTATCTTCTATTGTCTCACCACATATTTCTTTCAATTTCATACAATTTACTTTTATGTTTTCCTGATACACCCAGGTCTTACTTCCATATAACAAAGTAAGAAGAAGCATACTCCCGTTTTTGCTTGTTTTACCAGCACTCATTCCTTGCAGCAGACCACTTAACACCCACTATTGTTCTACCAGCATTTGTACGTCTTAAAATTTGTCTCTCTATTGCTATTAGTAAACATTCTATCAAGTTGCATAAATTCAACTAGTTGCTCTGATTCTTCACCATTTATGTAAAATCTCCAATTGTTAACTCTATTTTCCTTTTCAAAGTATCTTCATCTTTTATGCATTAATTTTCAGTTTCATCATTCAACCTGTCTAATGCTTTCTACAAATTGCTCAGATTCTCAGCCAACAACACAGTACCATCTGCATTCAAATGTATGTGCACGTTCATGTTCCCAACTAACACTCCTCTAATGTCATCACAAGCTTTCCTTTTATCCATAAACAGATTAAACAATGAAGGGGACATCTCATATCCTTAATGTTCTCCCTGGTCAGCGTTGAAACGTTTCATTTGTTCTCACACATTCTTTATTTCCATTGTATACTGCTGTTAATATATTCAGCAACCAGGCGTAATATCTGTGCAAAATATCCCATTATTCTAGCTTATTAACTCCATCATATTAACTTCCCAAAACAAGAAATGTGCAATAAACTTTCTTTCCCACATTCATACATTTCTCAGTGACTCACTAAATCTAGTCTGCACGCCCCTTGCCTGGCATACAGATTCACTGCGCTTCCCAGATTTTGCTCATCATTACCTATTATATGTTTTTAATTACAATTCTGTTGTACATGTTCCCAAGCAAGCTTAATAAACTTGTGTAGATCTTCCAGCATGGATAATAGGATCCCAAAATCATGCATCATTTAGCACCTGCATTGCAACAAATATGGTTGACATAAATGACTGATTTTTAGGGATGTGTGGGTTGGCTCTAATCTGATTCAAATCATCAGTTCAATTCAGATTATTGACCTGACAATTCAATTATGCAGATCTATTCAAAGGCAGTTAATTTGAAAATAATTGAGTTTGGAGATTCAGTCATATTGGCCATGAATCAAACAACTAAATAAAACTTCTCACAGCCCTACTCTTTACATTTATAATAATTCAGCAACTAATTTTAAAATACGATGCATATCACTTAATGTTTATACTGTGATATGATTGATTGTTAAGTGCCATCAGGTTGGTGTCAACTTTTATAGATAGATTCTCTGCAGACTTGTCTGATTCAGCTTGGCCTTGCAGTCATTGGTGTCATAATTGAATCCATCTATCTTACTGCTTGTTATCCTCTTCCTCTTTTTCTTTAACTGTTCCAAGCATTATGGACTTTAAGGGAATTATGTCTCCACACAATGTGTCCAAAATAATATAGTTGAAGCCAGGTAATACATAAGTACTTTGAGAATTCTGGCTTGATTTATTTGATGATCTATTTTTATATTTTATTTTCATGATTATATGTGATATTATTAAAAGCCTTCTCCAGCACCCAAAGTTCAAATGATGTAACATTTATATCAGTACCAATAGAGGTGAATATGTGTAGCTCAGGGTTGAACCGTGGAGTCCTTGGGGTTCTCTGAGCTTTGTTCTTTTTCTTGCAAACCTTTAATGTTGGGGGATGGAAAATTTTTCAGAGAATAAAAAAACTCA